TGCTGCAGCAGCACAAGGACTCCTCTTCCTGAGGGGGAAGCAGTGGCATGAACTGACCATAACCTCCATTCTTATCTTCTTGCACTGCTGGTGGGGAGGAGGGAGAGAATGGGGAATAAAGTTAATACTGGGAAGGAGAGAGGGATGTGGGAAAAGTGTTTTAAAGATTTGTTTTACTTTTCATTATCCTACTCTGACTTTGGTAATAAATTCAATTAATTTCTCTCTTTTTTGCCTGTGATGGTAATCAGTGAGTGATGTCTCCCTGTCCTTATCTCAGCTCATGAGCTTTTTTGTATTTTATCCAGCTAAGGAGGGAAGCGATTGAAAGAGAGGCTTTGATGGGCACCTGCCATCCAGCCAAGGTCCACCCACCACAGTATTATTCTGAATACACTGTCTGGGCTTTCACTGAAGGGAAGATTTAGTAAGGAGATTTAGTAAGTACTATCATTTGACTGTGAGAGAGTGAGTGATTATGTTTAGAGTAGCCACCAACAGTTTTCTAGGCAGGCTCATGCTCCATGCCCTACTGGCATGTGCACATCTGCAGTCTCAGAGCTTCTGCAAGGAATCACAACCTGGTGGTTGGAGAACTGTCAGGTGAAAAGGGAAGATTTCCATGACCCTTAGTATTTAATTTGTCTGTCAGTGCCCCAGGAAAGCTGAGACCCTTGTGCCTGACGAGTCTGTCAGCATCCTGTTACAGGGACCCTTCGTTGAGCAGTCCTTCTGGATTGGAGGAAAGTTTGACTGATATTCAGGGAATAGGCCAACAGCATAAGGGAGACCTCTCAGCAGGTCTTCCCACTTTATGACTCTTCAGTGGGACTTCCTATATGACTGTGTGACCTGCTGCTGGCAACTGCTAGCATCCGTGAAGGAATCACTCTTTGGAATTTTATGGAACAGTTTATGGAATTATACGCTTTATAAATATAAAATTGTGACAGGTTAAGTTTCAGGGATTGTTGGTGATGGTATCTGTCGGTGCCAATCTGTGTGTATTTTTGACTGCAAAAACTTATTCAAAGCAATATACCAACAAGCTGAAGTCCCCAACAGAACTATTCAACAGGCAGAATGCATTTCTAACCCAACAGGCCTTCCTAAGGGGCAGAAGATAGATTCAGCCCATTGAATGCTCCCGGCAGTTATGATGGAGCCTTCCCTAACTTTTTCTCCATTCTTGGCTTACTTTTATGCTATTTTTTTACATTTAGGTGAAGCTTGAGTGACGCTAGTCATGCATATATTTGCTACTGATTGGTGTAAAAATCTCTCATTTCACTTCTAAAGATACAGTAAAAAAAAGTATAGAGTTCATGCCCAGTGAGAGGTGGTCGTACCTTGGAGGCAGATAACTTTGGGATGGAGGTGTGCATTAATATTACAATTAAGATATAATGAACCAGGTTCATCCAATGTTAAGTCCAATCTTAAGGCAGGAATCAGACAGCACACCAATGTGATGTGGAACTGAGACTTTTATTTGTGGAACTGAGACTTTTATTTCTTGCTCTTGCATTACTTATATAGTTTTTGCCAAGCATCTAAAAACAGAATACAAACTTATAGCTCTAGTTTATAACACTGTTTTCGTTCTTCTCTAAACAGTATCCTTATCTTAAAGCAAATTACTAGATGCTTGCAGACCTTTGTGTGATCCTTCTTGCTCAACGAGCAGGAATATTTATCACCTTGTTTTCTTTGGCAGTCTACTGTTGGGGTCAGCATGCTCTGTAAAGAGGCTGTAAGCTAAGCACACCTGCAAAAGCCTCAACAATCCAAGAAAAGCAATTTTGCCACAGTTGATGGCTTGGCAACAAGACATCTCTCACAGCTGCTATGGAGTTAATCAGCTTCAAAGTACCATCCAGTTGCTGCCCTGCAAGGATTTCAACGGAGCCTGGTGTTGGAAGCTGGGTGTCCTTCCTTTTGTTCCCTTTCGTCCCAAGACAAAAATGACCTTGAAATGGACAAAATTAGAACGACTTTAAGCATAGGGCCTAAAATTCATTAAATGTAAGACAGGTCACTGAGGCAAGCTATGCAACAATTTCCCTGTGCTAGGTAGATCAGCAGCTACTCCTCCACAATACTTACATTTATTAACCTTCAACTTGCTTCCATCTACGGGAATTGGATCTATGTAATCCCAGTAATATTCGTAGGACCAGAAATACTCAGAGGAGTTTGTTCTGTTAGTCATGTCCGTGGTGCCTTTCAAGCCAGCTCAGAACTCCGACCCACTACTTTGCTTCGCTGTACTTCAGTGCCCTCAGAAAGAGAATTGCACAACTGATGCCTGTGCCAATCACTCTGGGGTCCTGCAGCTCAAGGACTGCCTCGGGACTGAAAAAAGCTAGTGGCAATGAATATTAATGTGTGGCAGAGATGTAAGAGCAGCCCTGAAAATGCAGTCCTCACTTCTTCACTCTAATAAATCTTTATTATTTGTTAATCAAATTTAATATTATTACTAAAATAAAATATGATTGCTAAGGTTGTTTTAAAAAGCTAACATTGCAGAAATGCCTAACCACAATGACTACAAAGCCGGCTGTGAAGGCAAGAAAATGCTATCTGACTGCACAAAGGGGAAGTAGAACATCTCCTTATTAAGGAAAATTGCCTACCCACGACCATCAAGAAGCAGAGAAAGAACCCCTAGCAACAGGAGGCGCAGGCGCTGATGTGATCTGGGAAGACACAAATGCAGGGACTGTATAAAAAAGGGAACCTCCTCAGCCAAGGTGCGTGCCATGTGTGGGACACTTAATAGGAAGTGTCCTCCGGCTCGCCCCCAGCTGGGTTTTTGCTTGCTTTACTGCTTGCTGAGTTAATAAAAATTGGCTTTCATTAATTATTATATAAATTGTCCCTTCTATTTTGTCACGACAATTTATAACATTGATGGACACTCATGTTACTCCTCAGCGTGTTTTCAAGTGAGATGGGTGTCCCATAACCCAGGGACAGGGTAGACAAAGTGCCAGCTGGGTCACAAACCCTTCTCCCAGAGCAACGCACTATTCCTGGGAGCTCCTGAGCACAGCTGGGCTGAAAAACATTTCTGAATGTATCTGGATGGAAAGGGCTGGGGTGTGGAGGGGCCGCACCAGGAGTGGTTGAGGGCATTTGGCCTATTCAGCCTGGGGGAGACTGAGGGAAGAGCTCACGGGGGCTGCAGCTCCTCCCGAGAGGCAGCTCCGGTCCCTGTTCCCTGGACAGGGGCAGCACCCAGGGAAGGGCTGGAGCTCTGCCAGGGGGTGTTCATGTCGAAGATCAGGGAAAGGTTCTTCCCCGGAGGGTGCTGGCACTGCCGAGGCTCCCCAGGGAATGGGCACGGCACCGAGGCTGCCGGAGCTCCGCGAGCCTTTGGACAGCGCTCCAGGGATGCAGGGCTGGGGTTGTTGGGGGGCCTGGGCAGGGCCAGGGGCTGTCCTGGATGATCCTTGTGGGTCCCTGCCGCCTCAGGAGGTTCTCTGAATTAGGCGTGACTTGATAAAACGCTTCATATGAAAAGGGTGTACTGGAATAACCACATCCTTTGCACTGATTCCATGACCTTACGAGCTCGGAATGCCCCCGACACGCGGGGGCGCTTCCGGGGCCGGCCCTCGACGGGGCGGGCGGGCCCCAGGAGCAGTTCCGGGG